AAGTCGATAATTGTTATCCCTTGTTTATCGATCTTATTGATATATTAAAATTTGAATCTTACTAATTACAGTCATCGATGAAGCCTCTAAATTGTGAATGTAATGCCGTAAAATCGTTGAATTGTATTTATCTCATTATATAAATAAAATTTATGAAACAAAATTTTTTTTCCATTTTTGAAAATTTTAACAATTTTTTTTCAATTGAATAAAAAAAATAGAAAGAGAAATCGGCCCAATCTGGGTTCTACAGGGATAACTGTGGAATTGATTAAAGTTTATTTTAGAAAAAAAAAATTAAAAAAAAAAATTTCGAACTTCGAAAAAGCATTGATTTTTGTCATAAAACTGAAAAATTCCATATGTATTGACTTAACTAAAATTTTTAATATTTTTATCGGAAAGTACATCTAAAAACAAAAATTTTGAAAAAAAAAGGTACCTAAATGTTTAGTTTTGAAAAAGTTATGGCTATTTGAAAATAAAAAAGCCATTTTTTTGAAAAATTCATAACTTTTTTGGAGTTAGGTAAAAAAATCCAAAAAAATTCTGAGAACCGTTTTTTATAGGGTAGAAAAGGATGGAAAACTTTCGGCCAAATCGAAAAGGGTCGGGGTCAAAAGTGGTCGATTTGGCATGGAATACCCCATATATATATATATATATATATATGTATATATGCCATCGAACTGTGGAACTATTCCTAACATCACTCATCAGCTCAACGATTTATAAAGTTACATAATTATAATAATAACAATAATTATTATTATTTTTCTTTATTATAATTAAATACTTTTCTCTCTTTCAAATCTTACTTTGCTTGGGTCGTAAATCCCCTCTATCTAAAAAACTAAAGATGAAATGTTACGCATGACGTCAAGAATTTGAAACAAGGCCCTCAGTTTTATCTAAGGATTAATTTTGTTTTAGTATTTATTTTTTGAAGTTTTTAAGAACATATTGAGTTACAAACGCCATAAGGCGTGTAATTATTTAACGAGCTTATAAAAAATTTAATTTGTTTATGCTTAAGGAGGTTCGAGCGAATCTAATGTAAAAAATAATTTCTAACTTTGAGCTTTGAAATTAAGTATACGTATAAATAAATACGTCATTAATCTAATCTCAAAATTTTAAAAAGATTCACCGTTTAGTTAACTAGATATTAAATTTAAAAAATCACATATTTTATCTCCTTATACACGGGCTCTTATGGTGGACAAATGTTTTGTCGAGACTTTAATTATTTTTTTCAATATTAACCTCCCAACTTTAACGGATAAAAAACTATATATTATGGTTGTAATCAAGCGCGCTATTGCCAAATTTGTTTATTTATTCCGGCAAGTAATAAATACGAGTCATTTTATTACTTAACTTTATTAAATAAGTAAAAATCATCAATTATTAAATTGTTTAAATTATTTTAAATTAAAATAAAGAATTTTGACGAATATTGGGAAGACTAAAATTAAAAAAAAAATTTAACTCATCAGTTATGCTCGAGCTTCCTTAATGAAAAATTTAAATAAAAAAATACTTATTGAAAAATTATTTACGGATTATTAAATCGGTCACCATCTGAGCCGTGAGTCGACCCCTAAGCCCAGATAATAATAAATAACCCCCAACCAGAAGACGTACTCTGAATTATTATAAACGATGTATTATATCGTATAATCCCGATAAATTTATTAATACGTTTTAATAAACTCGATCAGCGAAGATTTATGAGGATGAAACATAAAGAGAAATCTCAAGAAATCTTAAGGTATTGTTGAAGATAATGATAACGAGCAACAATGTATGACGAGGTGTCAACAATCAAGAATTTAGTGGTAAAATTATGAGGTAAATTGTTGGGTTTTCCAAAACAACCACATCAGAGTAACAATCTCATACAGATAATGTTGTCATCAGGACGATCATCGATAATGTTTAATGTTCGTGTGTGAGTGTGTGTATGTGAGGACAGTCATTATATACATATTATATTATATTATCTGTGTAGACCATACACCACACCACTCTTTGTATTCGCCATACAGGTATTGTATAATATAATATGATGATATAATATAATACGGGCCGATGTGTATGATGTGATGTGAATTTGTGGTTTTCCTCAGAGTGCACCAGCTCGGTATACTCCTGTGATGAGGACACGCCGGCTAGGACGTGGACGTGAGAAGCGATTTTATCCGAGACAAAGAACAAAAAACCCTCTGATGCTTAACTACGCCTCTATGCTGCTCTACAAACTCTATATAAATAAACTTTATTTATGTCATACTCATAAAGAAATTAAGGTGGTCTACTTTGTCATCTGTCTGTATCATTTACGTCGCTCTGTTTCTTCTAATAGAATCTACAATAATCCGCCTCGTCAATATACTACTCCATTTATCATTTTGATTTATTGTATTTGTTTTTTCTATCAGTCATAAATATTTTACCTTTCATTTATCACAAAGATTATATCCTCCTGCTTATTCTGCACTGATAAAAATTTTATTCCCCCTTTTATAAGTTCTCATCGTGAAAATATTACGAATTAAATATTTAGTTTAATTTAAATACATTTTTTTAAAAACAATTGACCTATTTAATGAATTTTTGTTTTATAACTCGATATGTTTGTTTGGACGATTAAATTTTTTTCAATAGCTTGATAGAAAATAACATCAATAAAAAAATTAAACTCGAGTGATATTGAGTTAGTTAGAATTTTATTTTGTGTTTTAGTTTTCGTTTACTTATTAAACTCGATATATTTATTCGAACAATTAAATTTTTTCAATACAAGATTTTTTTATCGTCGATAAAAAAAAATTTCAATGAAGAGTTATTAATATTTTAATAACAAAGAAAAAGCTTTTGCAATTCCGGAAATTGAATTTTTGCAATATTCACATTTTAGTTTTTTGTTTAAAACAAAGAGTTATTTATTCGAATAAAAAAATATTTTCAAATGTTTAAATTAATACTTGAACTAAAAGAAAAAAATTCATTGAATGCAGAACAATAAATTGTTTGAAAAAATTTTAGCGATTCAGGTAAAGACAGATATAGCAAAGTATAATAATAAACTAAATGTAAAAGGGATTAAATTGACAATTGTTAAATTCCAAAGATGCCGGAATGCGAACGGTTGTACAATGAGAGTAAATGCTGAGAATGCGTTGCCAATGTAAAATTAGTCCCTCCTTGAATCGGTAGTGAGAACAATTCGGCGGTGTAGTACTGTACTACAATTGAACGCGATTATTCGGTTTTGAGAGTACTATTTGAAAGGCCCGTGAGATCTCGAGAGCAATATAAAGCCCCGCTATTAATTAGTTATAATATTAATTTACATCCAAGTCAGATAATTATACAATTAACCGTCCCGAATCAATAATTAAATTTATAAAAAATTTATGGATTAATTAATAACCTTTATTTTTTAATAATTACTTTCCACGAATAATTATCAAGTAAAATTCAGTATAATATATCAAACTAGAACAACTATTATTTAAATTATCGTATTTAAAATCGAAGTCACGTATTAATTACGAATAAATCTGAGGATAATTTAATATATAACTTACCTCTCTTCGTACTCGGCTCAGTGTCCAATTAGTCAGTGTGAAAACATGATATTCTATTGTTACACGAGTACAATGAATGAGAGATGTTATATTGAAGCGTAATTTCAATTATTCTTTCTCGAACAATTCAAATTAATTTATAAACTTTTTAATAAATTTAAAAATACACTACATGCATTAATTTATATTTAAATTAAATAACAAAGGACAGGAAGGGGGTTTGACTTTTAACAAAGATAATATAAATAAAATGCGTGTTTAATTGAAACGATAACGTAAGTTATAAATTTATTCACATGATTTAAATAATCGAATTATAGCAAATGTACAATGTGTATTTTTATTTTTATTTATTCTTTTAAGGGCAAATGTACGTACGTCGTACAAAAGTATGAGGCTTATATTTTATTTATAATAATATTATTATTATTTATATTTATATTTATTTATTTATATTTTATTTTGTTTAAACTTAGTCTCCGGATGTACATTTATTATTCAATAATTCTTTATGGCGAGTATATCTTACATCAGGCATAATTACATACATATTTACATATCATACAACAACGTTTTTTTTTTTAATCTCTCTTACTCTTTACTCTGTCAGTCATATAAAATTACAAAAACATTGCCTAGCTAATTTAACTCTCATATTTCCAGCACACTAACTTCTTTTTTATTTTCTTTTATTGTTACCTTTTTCTCAAAACAAATTTTATTTTTATACACATTTTTAGATTTATTTATTTATATATATATATATATATATATATATATAACATATGTTATAGTAAATATTTACAGCGGTGCCACGTTATGGAGTCGAATTGAGTCGCTAAATCCGTATACGCGTGACCATTTAATTAAGCATAATTTATTAGTTAAGTAAATAATTATTTAAGTTAATTTAAGTCTGTGGCGAGGTAGGCCATCGGTAAATTTACAACACAATCCTAGTTTATTTATTTCATCAATTGTTCATTAATTCATTATTTTGTTTGTTTGTTTATTTGTTTTTGTTCAAGGACAGGCAGAATACTATTGTCAAAACAATAAAAAAAATTTAATTAATCAGTACGTTAATAAAAAAAAAAAAATAAACAAAAAAACAATATTATTGTGAGAACTCGTCAGTCAATAACTAAAAAATTGCATTACTTTTATTGTTCTCAGCAAATCTTTAAATTCTTTTGATTTAGCTATTTACCGGCAATCATAATAATATCAGTATCAATATTTAACAATAATAATAGTCATATTAATAATAATAATAATAATAATAATAATAATAATAATAATAAGAATAATAATAATTGTAATATTAATAATAATAATGATAGAAATAATATTAAATAATTGTATTAAAGAACAATAAAATGTTTTTTTCAAGTGTTTAAACAATCAAAACGTTTGTGCGAACTCGTTAAAAATATAATCGCTCCCAAACGTCACAAGTTTATCGCAAGATTATATCGTGATAACAGAAAAATAATAAACTAAAGAAAAGGATGAGTCAGTAGTTTTTTTCAAACACAGCTGAAGAATTTAATATATATATTATATGAATCACATTTTATTCCACTGATGAATGAAATAAAGTTGTTGATTTTTTTTGTTTAATTTTGTCAGCACACTTTGTTTTACTTAAACAAACTTATTGTCCGTATTCACTAAATTTTAAATAATAAAAATAGAGAAAAAGAAACGATATTAATTAAGATATATATCACAAAAGATCTACACAGCGGAAGAAAGTATTACAGGGAACACAATAATTATTATTTGAAATCCTCAGAACACTGCAACACTGCTATAAATATATTACTCTTGATGAAACGTTTTTTATTACGGAATTGCCCATTATTATCAGCGTCTCTGACGTCTGGGAGAACCAAAGACAATGCACCCTTTGACTAGACGTCGTCGTGTGTCTTATAAAGGTTTTTAAAAAAACCTTTCTCATAGAATTACACAAGATAAGCTTGTCCAGGAGGCGGATGTTGCTGTTGTCGCCAGGCATTTCGCTCAAGTGTCGAGTAATCAGAGTCAATTGAAGAATAAATATGTTCTGAAAGAGGTCTTCTGCTCTCGTTTATCGCGTCGACAGGTCCTTCCTGGTAAGCCCGGTTCATGGTCAACCTGGGACTGGGATTAGCAGTGGTAGATCCGCTCATTGAGCTGTCTCTGTTAACGCTACTGCCGACACTTTCACCGAGCCTCTGTTGATTACTTTGCCCGAGAGTCGCCGCGGTTGAATAAGCCGGTGGTGCTTGAAGAAGTTCCGGCGCGTCCTTGAATAGTGGATGGTGATGATGGTGACCGGGAATGTGCCCGTGAACTCTTAGAGTAGAGGTTTCTTTCTCTGGACGGCCCTCCAGAGTGTAAGTGTTGACATTTCTCCTGTAGAGAGAGGATGACTTGTGTCTGAGAGCATCGCCAGGTGGCATGGCGAACCTCAGTCTTTCCCAGAACCGTTTTTCGCCCCACCTGAGCGTGGTAGCTGTTCTGAGATACGGCCTTAATTCGGGATCAGCTTCCGCCTCTGGTGCGACCGGCCCGGCCTGGACGACCACTAATTGACCGGGTCGTCCCCTCAGGGCTTCGTGTACTGCTGCACGAAACTCAAAACGCGACCATTCGGTCTGCAAGAAGTTCCTCGTCAGGACGATAATCACCCGTTTGGAGGCTTCTGCAGCCTCCAGGACCACGGGCGCGGCAGCGCGGAGGCAAGGAAGGTCTCGATGATGAAGACACAGCCGAAGACCACTTGGTCCGTGCTCCAATTCGACTGCCAAAGAATGCAGAACAAAGTCCTCGTCTTTGGGACTGTAGCAGAAGTACCCATCATAGAGCCGCTCTTTGTCTTCAGATTGCGTAGACTTTGCCCAGAACCTTACACCGTAACGAGAGTAAGCCCACGTGCGAACTGGCTCGCGGAATATGAACGCCAGAACGGTTATCACCAGCAACAACAGGACTGCTGACAGCGTAGCTGCGACCATTGGAAGGTAATCGGACACCATGATACTCTCGATGACACCACCTTGTGCGTAGTAATCCGAGCAGGCTGTCTCGTTAACATTGAGACGACGTCGGTATGCCGGTCTAGCATCGTTGTTGTAACACCAAACGTCACTTGCGTCGATAACTTTGTGGACATTGTCCGAGACCCACGATGATAGTTCTTGCAGAAATTTACACCGACATGACCACGGATTCCCTCCGAGGGACAGATCCACTAGACGGGTGTTGAGAGTCACTTGCCAGACCGGAAAGGTGACAAGACGGTTTCCGTTCAGCCGGAGAATTTCTAGTGATCTCAGTGGGAGCAGGGTGAGGTTACCTATGAAGCCTATTAAGTTATTTTGCAGGTAAAGCTCACGCAGGTGAGAAAGGTGCTCGAACTCGAAGCCTTTGAGCTCGTGAATTTTATTGTCCTCGAGGTGGAGAATCTGGAGGTTGTTAAGCCCGTTGAAGGTGCGGTTCTGGATTGACTCAATACCACTGGCATTAACATACAATACGCGCATGTTTTTCCGTCCTATGAACACGTGATTTTGCAACTCGCGGAAATCATTGCCGTCGAGGTAGACCTCAGTTGCGTCCATTGGAATACGTCGGGGTATGTCCTGGGTGCCAAGTCCGGAACAGTCGACGACATTGGTATTCCAAGTTTGGTCGTGATAACACTTGCAATCGGATGGACATGTCATTTCACAATCACAGGCGTCGAAATCACAACAGTGACAGAGCGCAAAACAGTGGGCTTCGTAACGACATAAAAATTGCTCGGGTTTGGCAATAGATGCTGGAACAATTGCTGTACCACGAGGGCCCGATATGCGACACATTGCATTGTCTAAATCCATAACCCGCGGATGCTGTCGAAGCGCACTCATGTTATTGATACCCGGCAGCCAGTCCATAGAACAGTTGCAATTGAAAGGATTACCACCAATATAGAACTCCGGGAGAAATTTACCCTCAGGTACTGGTGTCAATCTCAATGCTGCCAATTCCATTGTTTCAATCATATTGGCATACATATCAACTCGCGTTAAATTAACTTTGTCTGTAAACGTATTTGCTTGTACATTTGTAATGTAATTATTGTTTATGAACAATAATTCAACACTGTCAGGCACAGATAGAGGCATTAAATCGGTAATACGATTATGACTCGCGTCTAAAGTCCGAACTTTTAAATCACGTATTTGATAGTAATTATCCAATCGCTCGATAAAATTACCGTGAATGTCCAACCACTTAAGATTCCGAGGTATAAACGCGTAATCAAACCACTCGATATGATTTTCCGATAAATTAAGCAGCAACAAACTTGCGATGCTCGCAAATATTCCGTTAATGTCTGAGAGGAAATTCCCATCGAGACGGATTGCTTCCAGACGGGTATTACGCTCAAACGCGTCACGTTCAACATGCTGGACTTTGTTTCTCGCCAAATTCAATATCTGCAAATTTGGTAGATCCCACAGCATTCCACGTGATAAATTACCAATTTCATTTCCAATCAACCGTAATCCCGTGAGTTGATTTAAATTTTTGAAAGATCCATTGTGAAAATCAGTTATTTTATTTTCACCAAGATCAAGTGTCTTCAAAAAAGTCAAATCACGCAAGGCTTCAGGTATCGCTGTCAGTTGATTCCCACTCAAATCGAGTTCCTTTAAATCAGAGCAGTTGCGAAACGCCAACGGGTCCATCAATTTTATCTGGTTTCCCGATAATGTTAAACGATTTAACACAAACAATCCGTTGAGAAGTTGTGGTCCCAAAGTGTGCAAATTATTATCAGACAATTCAAGAGTATGCAAGTTGTAAAGCGGCAGGAATGCATTGCTCTCGATATGCGAGATAGAATTATTGTGGAGATCTAGGATTTGAAGAAAAAATAAATCTTTGAACATCTTAGCGTCAATTCGCGTTAATGAATTAAACGAAAGATCAAGAATAATGAGTCTTATCAATCCTAAGAATGTCATTTCATCAACAGTGTCACTGCCAAGACGATTGTCGGCCAAGTTTAGCACCAAAAGCTGCTCGAGTCGGGTGAATGTACCGCGAGGCAAATTCCGTAACTCATTGTGCTCCAGATGGATCTCTCTAAGGTCTCTGGTGCTGGCAAACAGCGCTTCCGGCAGTGTATCAAGTGAATTGTAGCTGACATTGAATACACGTAAGCTGGTGAGTCCCGTGAGTGCGTCACTGGCAATTTCCCCGATAGAATTATGCTGCAAATACAGTTCTTGCAATTGTCTGAGCCCGGACAGCGGGCTGTCCTCAGGTAGATTCCTGATTTCGTTATGCGAGAGATCGAGAGCGCGTATATCTGCGTGACAATTGGCACGATTGGCACGTACGTCAGCCAGTCCAACCTCACTGATTTCACGGAATTGATTACCGGTCAAATTGAGTATTTGGAGATTGTTGAGCCCGCACAATACATTCCGTGGGAGTACCCTGAGATTGCTATCGACTATTTCAAGTGCCTGAAGTTCCCTGAGTCCAGCCAAGGCTTCTGGCACCAGTTCCAAGGTACGACCAGCGCTCCATTCGACGTTCAATGTCCTTAGTGTCAGCCGCTTAAGTTCGTTTAACGGTTGAAACGCCGCTTCAGGAATACGTAATATCTTACAACTATCAATAATAAGCTCGTGGAGTCCGCTCAACCGGTGCCAACTTTCCCCTGTAATTATGCTCTCAAAGTGATGGACATTACTGCAATCTAGACGCAATTTAAAGGCACCCTCTAGAGGCGGAAACAAAGCGGCAACTCCCGATGGATCCAGTGTTCTTACATTGCAAACCGCGGATCTCGTGTCATTGCCGTCGGAGGACCAGTGACATGATCCCAAAACACCCTCTAGCGTCGAGGTTGCCACCAACCATAACAAGCTCACTATTATTACGTACATCCTCGGCATCCAGCTGCATCTCCGAGCCATTATACTCAAATAAACCCCTTTATTATCCGATTTAACATAAATCCCCGGCAATATTTAAATATTGCTTGACCAACACTTTTTATCACATAAAAGTACACCTTTCCATTTTTCAGTCCACCTTGTTCTCCAGTTAAATATCCACTTTTAATCACTCAATACTTAAAAAATACTCAATAATTTTATATAAATTTTATGTCACTTTATCCGAAATCCAAACGCACTCCAGTTTAAATTTATCCGCGCTAATTCAAATAAAATAAATAACTTATTTTCACGTTTAATAAATAATAAAATGCAACTATCCTCGACAACAGCATAATAAAAGCGGTTGCTAGCAATAGTTTAAGTCTTTTTTTTTTCACAAGTATACAGTACTTGTTACATTAACTATTTATTAATAATAGAGTACACGGACCGAGAATAAACACGTACGTTCCACCCGCACGCTCAACTCGCACTGACTCGACGGTTCTTCGACTGGTTAAGTTGATCAAGAGGACGGTGGCATTTCAGGGGAACTCTTCCCCACCAAAACGCTCAAAGATTCGAGAAATGCTCGCGAGACTGCGCCACCGGACGGCCCTTTCCTCGACAGAAAGGACCAAATTTCTAGCAGCCGAGGAGGGAGGAGGTGGGGAGAAATCAACCCTAGTATACTTGTATATTTTACCTTCTATGTATGGTCCCTACACCACTACACCACTACTGTGTACATTGTGAATTGCTATGAGCTATGACGTACCGTAACTGTTCACCTATTTCTCCGTCTATTCCTTTACTCATGGCTGGCCTTAAAAAAAGGACAATAGTTTCTATGTGTCCCCTGGCCCCTTGCGTGCCCCAGCCGTCACCCCTCTGGCAGGTAAGCGACGCACAAAAAATTAAAAAGAGAAATTGGTGGTACAAGCCCACCGGTGACAGTCTCATGGGAGTTTTACTGAATCTTTATATTCCAATGTATTTTCATCGATATTTTTATTTCGACGAATGTATATTATTATATTTATAATATATAAATCCCTATAAATTTACTCTGATGTCCTTTTTTCACCCGATAAATCCATAAACTCATTTTAAGCTTAGCTTAAGCTTATTGTTATCATTATATTTGTATGTACGTATGCATTTAGAGTTTTATATAAATTCAAGTATATGTAAACTTTTTGACGACTATATAATATATATAAAATGTATGAATATATGCCGTAGCATCTCCAATCTCCAATTAAAAGTTTGCTTTTTAAGCAGGATTGAATTTCGCGAATTAAAATGAAAAGTAAAGGTATTGATCAAACGAATTTATTATTATTTCATGGCTAGATGATAATGAAAGTAACTCCCGGGGTCGTGGATATAGTGTAATTAATTACTCGACCATATAGTGTATTAAAAATACTTGATATTAATTTAAATTCTAAGATGGAATATTCATAAGATATTTTATAAATCGTTTTCTATTAATTAATTATCCATAATTAATCCCCGGGGATACATATTCTTTATTATAATATATAAATATAATACACTTATTTTAAAATCAAGTTACTCGAGTATGTTGTCATTTACATATTTGAATAATTGATTCTCTTCTCAATTATGTTTAATTAATTTGTTGTTTTTTTACGATCAACCGTAAACGATGAATATTTATTGTCGCTTGGAAGCTTTAATTGAAATTTATATTTACACTTGGATATCTTTGGTCAGATATTTTGTATTACATTTATGCATTAGAGCTCGAAGGGCTTAGCAAGATGACTTAGACATTTTTCTGAGAGAAATCTCTACATTGTTACGGAAAATTCAAGAGAGTTACACCGTGAAAAATTGTAATTTTCTTCCATATTTCCGGGCATCAATCTGAATATTACAAAGTGTAAAACTTTTTTATGGATATTTTATATTGTTTGATACTTGGAAAAAAAAATTATATTTTTCTACAGAATAAAAAATAAGGGATTAAATTTTTGGAGGGTTATAAAATTTTTAATAACTGTAATCGTAAAACAGGGAGCAATGCATTGGGTTATTTTTTATTAAAAAATTTAATTCATATTGAGTATCGATTTTCAATAAATTATTTACTCACACTGAGCTGTCAGGGAATAATTCAGTGATTATCTATTCTGATGAAATTAAAAAATTCAATATCACATAAATTTGTTGCTCGGAGCAAACTTTCTATTCTATTATCGGTTATAATCATGATCATGTGTGAAACAAGTACTCATTACTATTATATTAATGAAATTAAATTCCTAATTTTCTCCGACTAAAAAAGCGTCGGCTCGGCACCTACAAATCGATACAACCCGTCCCCTCTGTCTCTTCGCGTTCGAACTAAAAATTACACTGCTGAAGATAAAGAAGAATTCTGTTCTTCAGTATATAATCGATTGTCATTTTTTTACATCGTCAATATTGACGTTTTGGAGAAAAATCATTACCCTAACTAGATAGTTCAATTCGCTTTATTAAAGATAAATATTTATGAAAGATTCAGATGGAGGAAAAAGAAGATAAAAATGATGATCCGCGGGTTGAATTTATTTATCAATATTTAGTGAGATCCAGCAAAATAAAACCTGATAAATGGGCCAAGATGCTGGCAACTGAAGATTTAAAGGTAATAAATTTAAGTAAAACTTGTTACTTATGATCATGAAGAAGTACTGAATAAAATTGTATGGTCCTAGAATATTATTATGAATTTCTTTGGCTCTCCTGAGGAGTACATACTGACGATAAATGTATCGTCCAGCGGTGGAATTGTTCCAGCTTTGGGAATTCAATCTGATGTCAAAAATAAATTGTCTTACTTCGTGAAGCGACAGCCGGTTATTATTACAGAGACCAATTATAGGGAATTTCTTATTCCTGGAGACATGTCACCTAAACCTGTAGATGAATTGTCGATCCTGGTTCAAGAAGTAAATTATAAATTGATAGTAACATTAAATTTTTATTGAAATGGAAGATTATAGAATTGTTGAATTTAAGGTATATGTTCCGGTTTTGACAAATCCAGAAAATAGTAATGATTGGCCAGAAATAATAACTGAAGATGTCAAAAAACACGTTTATGACTTCCAGAGTTCAATCTGTCAGGTCAGTCAAAATTCGAAAATACAAAGCTCAATATTTAATTTAATAATAAATTAAAAAAAAAAAAATGAAAATAAAAAAGAATGAACTGCAAGTCTTAATTAAACGAAAAAATAAATTCATTCAAATTTTTTTTATCATTTTACTTTAGTAACATTATCGCAGCTTCTTTTTCTCTTATCTGTTTCAACAATTTCATTTCCGTTTTGTTACGTCAGCATTTCACAGATAATGTTAACCATTTAAAATTTATCTTTCTATTTACATTTCCGAATAGTTCTCCAGAACTAATTAAAAAAGATTTTTATATCTTTCGTTATTTATTTCACCGTTTCATTAATATTTATAAGCATAATAATAATTATTATTATTATTAAATATTTAAATAGTTGCAAGGTAAAATGACAGGACATACTTTGCTATCGATGCCAATGGGCAATGAGGAATTATTTAAAATGGAAAGACTAACCAATAATGAAGAAATTGATTTGATGTTAAAAAGTAATATCGAAGAAATCGTTATCAGATGGCTGAAGCAAGTTAATGATGTTTTGGAGGAAGCTCACGAACGTCTGTCTAACAATGACAATCAATTATTTCCTAGCGCAGGCAAATAAATAATTTAAAATTATTTTAGATGGGGTAGAAGTACCGTTTTTGGCCAGATAACATTTGAATTAATTTATAAAAAATTATAATATTACAACCATATTTTTGTTGAGTTTTAAAAATTTATATTAAAACAAATTGAGTTTGTAATGGTTTATTATTATAAATTCATTTCTATCGTTTATTTGAACAATAAATGGCCATAAGCGGCACAGTAGCCACAAATGGTACTTCTACCCTAATTATAAATATAAATAAACATATTTTTGCAGAAGTTACATTCTGGCAAGAAAGACTGAGAAATTTGGAATCTATTTATGATCAAATGTGTGACCCGAGGGTAAAAAAAATAGCTTTTCTACTTGAACTTACTAAAAGTTCATACTTAACATCTTTTGAAACACTATTCAAAAATATTATCACTGGTTTGTATTTTAAAATGAATAATATTTATTGTTTATTTTATTTTTTTAATCAATATCATTGAATATTATTGATACAGTAAATGTTTCCATATTTATAATTTGATATTTTGATTAAAGCAATCGTCGAAGCGCGAGATATTTATTTACACTTAAAACCACTGCAATCGCAGTTTATAGAAATAGAATCAACTGATATTGAAGATTTGAAATTGAAATTGAAACAACTGCTTCATTTAATTTGTCTGGCGTGGGCGAATTCTAAGCATTATTGCACGACTACCAATATTATCTATTTGCTCAATGCGGTTGTGAATCTTTTTATAACTCAGGTTTATTAAATATTTATGGTATTCATTAACCCGACGAATATTATATTCAATAACGGTACAATTTTAAACAATTTTGTTCCCAGGCGATAAAATATCTTGATCCAGGAAATTTATTTCAAACTGACATTAATGATAATCTGGCTAAATTGACACTTGTTCTCGATACTATTGTGAATTTCCGGGATTTATTCGATCAATTTGGAGCGAATATTCATCACTACTTTAAAAATTCATCAGTTGTTCCTTGGACTTTTCACGAAAAGCTCGTTTTGGAGAGATTAATCAGATTTGAGAAACGGCTGAGACAGATTCAGGTAATAATAGCAGCAATAATTTATTACGTTAAAAATGTATCGTAATATTTTATTTATTTTAGCGGATATTCGAGATTGCCAACGAGTATTCTAAATTAGAACGAATCGAAGTCGGTGGATTCAAGGGAAAAATATTGGTTGACAAAATAAATCAAGTTTATGATGAATTTATTAAGAGTTACAATGAACTGGGCTCCGTGGAATATGACATACTGTTTCCTGAAGACGATAAATTTTTAAATGAAATCACGAGTTTTTTAACTAAGGTAAGCTTTGTGACAGATATAAAATAATAATAGTTACAGTTGACGATATAAATGGAGCAATATTTTTGATTAACTTAGGTGGAAGAATATGACCAGAAATTGGGTTCTATTTTTGATAAAGCTTTCGCGGAGTGTCATGATATCGAGAAAATAATAAAATTAATTTACATAATTGATCCAATATCTCAGCGACCGATTATACGATTTCAATTGTGGCATAATTATGAAAAATTGTTGGCGCTTATCCACAATTATCTTGATGAAATTAAGGTTAAACTTTTCAATTCTTTAAATTAAATTTAATTAGTTTTATCACTTTGAAACTGCGATCGTCTTAATGCTATTAAGGATAATTTGAGTATAATTAGCTGCCCATTAAAATATAAAGTTGAATTTTTTTTCTTAAAGGACAAAATCAATTAAATTTTATTATAATAAATTATAAGATTATAATTTTTGTCACAAAATTTAGCTTTATAAAAATCAAAATATCTTTAAGGATAATTAATATTAAATAGATTGATAATTATCTCGTTAAACAGATTGTTTTCGATAACAACTTCGTAGAAACAGAAAATAACAGTACAAAAGATCAATATTTTCCGCCGGTGGCTGGCAAACTTTGCTGGCTAATGAAATTACAGCGGCATATTGATTATCCTATAGACTCTATTAAATTAATTAATCATCCGATATTTGTAACGCAATCTGGACTGGATATTATAAATAAACACGACCAAATTCAAGTAAGTGTATCACAATATCCATTAAGATTTTAGATTATTAAACCAAAACGTATCAATTACTTTAGAAACTACTGGACGAAACGGAAAAAAAAATATTTGCCGAATGGTGCAAAAAAGTTCCGGGTATTTGCAGTGAAAATCTGGCTAAACCTCTTTTTATTGTCGCGAACGATCGATCTTTAAAGTCTAATTTGAACCCCGAACTCGTTGCTATTCTCAAGGAAACTAAATACATGATTATGTTAGCGAAGGACAATTTGCCTAAAGAAGCCCTTGATTTATTTGCAAGGACAAAGTTTTTTGTTGATACTACTTACAATATTAACCTGATTGTTGATTGGTAATTATAGTAATTAAAATTTTTATTAATGAAGTAAATAAAATGTTTATCATTACGTTCAGGTACAACGAAACTCGATTCTCGTGTTCAGACGTAGAGTTTGAATTATTACAAGAGGAAATACAAATGATTGATGGCATGATTGATGAGGGACAGATTAATTACAACTGGAACTCACTAGGCGAGTATAAATATATGTTATTTAATAGCAAAGAAACGGCTAAAAGTTTTATGATGAATTAGCTTATCAACATTAAACTTTAATTAACCCGTAACTTTTGCCTTCAAAAGTATGAAACAAAATAAAAATAAAAATAAATAAAACTAGTCTTTAAAACAAAATTAAATTGTTTTAAACAGAAACGCCGGATTTTATTAACCAGCTGTTGGTTCCCGTAAGAAATTTGTACCACAGAAAAATAAAGGCCGTTAATAATGTCAAAGATTTGATGACGAGCATCAATGATTGGGCGATGACGCCAATTTTGGAGCGCAAGGACAGAAAAGCTAATAATTTGATCGCGATTGGAGACCGAAAAGATAAATTCAGCAAGCGCTACAGCACTATTGAGCAGACAGCTGCAGAAATAAACCGCGTGCTGGAGGAAAATTACAAACTCTACTTCAATATTCTGCCTGAATCCGCTTACGTCTCCAGTGACTTTGAGTCTGATTCGGGTTCATTAAATAATGACAAACGCTCAGGAGAAAGAAATGGGTCATCTAGGTATCAGTTGGAGAAAAATAGACTAAGATTTTTTGGTAAATAAATAAAGGAATTGTTTTTTAGTGAATTACCCGGAAATGCGGGCTTGGGCTTGCCAAAGGACCTTGTCGGAGGAGAAAATGAAGAAATTAATGATGCAGTAACAGATGGTGAAATGACGATAACGGAAGACTCGACAAAAGATAATGGAACTGAAGAAGAAGATCCTGAGCTAAAGGCAATTAGACTAGTCAAGTGGAAGCCTTATCTTAGTTATATTGATCAATTGGTATCCAAAGCTTTGATACAAGCTGTCTCTTCGAGGTAATAATATTGCTTTTTTTTTATAATTTATTTATAGCTTACACGATAAAAAATTGAGTTTTTTTTTTATTTTCATCAGACTGAATATGGATACATCCGCTTTAAATTTTTTATTCAGATGAAACAAATGTCTACATTATTATTATTTTTTTTAAATCAAATAGAAATTTCGTTCAAAAAAATTAAAATTAAAATAGTTGACCCCACTTCTAAATATTTACCAAAAAGGTAATTATTTACAAGTGGGGTCAATCCCATTTTGGACCATAACTAGGTGAAAAATTTTATCATAAAAAATATTTATATTGATGACTTTGTCTATTCATTCTTTTAAAATTTACAGCGTCTGCTATATATTGGATGAAACTGATCCACAGGCTGATGTACATCCGCTTTTTGAGGTGAATCTTTGTTTAGAAATTCCGAATATCAGTTTTCATCCTTCTGTCGAGATAGAACATCCCGAGGGATTTTACGTGTTTTACGAGGGCTTGTTGTTTGATATTATGAAAATGGGAACATTGATAACTCGTTTGGATCCTGATAAATTTGAACACCGAGAAAATTATGGGGTGAGTTTATTTAATGGTTGCTATTTATTATAAATATTTTTTATTTTTTGACAAAGACTAATTTTAATTTGTTTTCATATTTACTTTTTTATTTAAATTATGAATAATAAATTTTCTGAGTTATTAAAAGTTAGAGAGTTGTAAGAAATGTTAGTAGAAAATTTCCAGCATTAATATCACAAACAATGAATAATCTATTAATAAATTCTTGGAGCTTTAAGTAATACTTTAGAGGAAAATAGTTTGAATATAATTAACAGTATTTTTCCTTGTTTACATTATTAAAACAAGCTTGACTTAGTTGAAGAGGAACGAATCGTATTTATGTTGGAAGAAACTTGTAACCGAGTTAAGGAAGCACTAACTCAAGCTCAAGAGTACGGTACGGTAAGTTTCAGAGGAGCCCTGAGGTATTATATCAAACATTTATAACGAATGTGTTTAATTATTCGTCCTTTGTATTAATCTGGTATGATTTTATAAAGATATTCGAGGTATATAACTGGATATGGCTCGACGACAGGCAAGAGTATCTCCATTACTTTTTGCGTTTCGCTAAAAATTTAAATCACCAAGAAAGAGAACTTTTGAGCCATAAATCAGCGACTAATTTGGCTATCAAAGAGAAGAAACCCGAGCTAGCGGATTTCAAGCGAGAAATTGATTATTTTGTCGAGCTGTACAATAAGTGCAACGGAATTGAGAACGAAAAAATTTTGTGTCGCTGGCTTAAGATCAATAATAAATCGTTCAAGCAGACTTTGCTTAATACTATTTGCAAGTGGGCTAATACCTTGAAGACCTATCTTGTAGATAGTGTCGACAGTAGGTATGGTGTAATTTATAAATTTATAATTAACTAGCAATCTTACAGTCATTATATGACTGCCGTGACTTGTGAATTAAAAAAAATTAAAATTCTGCTTTATTAAATAATGACTTTTGTTAAATTGCACTGTACTTTCTTAAATATTGGCGTTTTTAAAGATATAAGCTCATCCCAATGATACACTCGTCAAGAGCTTTTATTTAAGTACCCACAAGCATTTTTGATATATTTTTCATACATACATATATTTAATATATATAAATATATAAAATATATGAAAAATTGATGTGGCTACTCAAATGAAAGGTATCGATGAGTGTAATGTCGGGGTGAGCTTATATCTTTAAAAATGTCATGAGTTGCCAAGATAGCAAAGTCAATTCTTAATTATTGACATTTTTTAAGATATAAGCTCATCCTGACGTTACACTCATCAACAAGAGCTTTCATTTGAGTACCAACATGCATTTTGATATATTTTTCATATATTTATATATATAAATATATAAAATATATGAAAAATTGATGCGGGTACTCAAATGAAAGGTCTTGATGAGTGAAACATCAGGATGAGCTTATATCTTTAAAATTGTCAATAGTTCACGAGATACAAGGTCATTTTTTAATTATGTGTCTAGAGATAGAATATTTTCGAATGCAGTCTAAATACTCATCATCATAAATTGACTATTGGTGAGAATAATATGAAACTTTGAAAAGGCACAAATTAAAATCAAGATCTTTGTAATGACACTAAATTTCACTAAAAATACCGATTTTATCATAGGCTATCTTGGAAACAAAATCTTTCTTATTCTCTTAATAATAGAGATTATGATTTTTTTTTAACTTGTAAAAATTTCAAATAAGCAATTATTTTTCATTTGTTTTAAAATTAAGCTTGAAAGAGTTATCAGAGTTCCTACAAGAAGCAACTGAAAGATTTAACCAACCGATTCTAGAAGAGGATTATGAAGGCTTATTGAAGACAATGTACTACTTGAAAGAAGTTAGAGACAAACAATATAAAATTGATGGAATGTTTGATCCTCTTAAAGTAAGTTATAGAAATTTAATAATTAAAAATAACTTTTTTACTTTTGGATTAAAGATAAAGTTTGATAATTAAATTTATTTCCAGGAAATAATAAATTTATTGGAACAATACCAAGTAGAATTTAGCGAGCAAACTCATCAGTGGCTTGTCGAACTGCCCGAGTCATGGGGCACTGTAAAAAAATTAGCCGCTCAAGTTAAACAATTAGTAGCGCCGCTTCTGGCTCACCAAGTTGATCTCATTAAAAAGAGATTAAATTATTTCGACTTTAAACAACGCCAGTATTATTTAAAGTTTTTTGACCATAAATTATTTAGGTAATTACAACAAACCACTTTAGTTTAAAATTATAATTAATAATTGATAATTAATGATTAATAATAAATAATTAAAAATTTATAGGCCAGATTGCGAGAATGTTTATGAAAATTTGGACAAAATAAACTGGGAAGTGAATGAACTGGAGTCGGAGTTAGAAACACTGAAAGCTTCAGCCGCAATACACGAGCTGCAGGTTCAAGATTACAAGGAAATAAACCAGCTGAGACGGGAGCTGAGATTATTGAAATGCCTCTGGGATTATATTATCGTGATAACGAGTAGCTTAGACGAGTGGAACACTACGACCTGGAAGAGAATAGACGTCGAGGCGATGGATCTCGAGTGTAAAAAATTGATCCGTGAACTGAGACGTAAGTGTCTTTATTTGATTCAATTTTAATTAAGTTAATAGACTAGCAAGCTAATTGAATAAATAATTGAAGTGCTCGACAAGGAATGCAAAAGCTGGAAATTATTTACGTACATCGAAGCTCAGGTTAAAAATATGATGTCATCATTGAGAGCTGTCTCGGAGCTACAGAATCCCGCGATTCGCGATCGTCACTGGCAGGAATTAATGGCGGAAACTCGGGTAATTTTATTATAAATCTTATTTATAGTTTGGGCTCAGTTGAGAATTATTGTACAGTAAGACTTTAATTTACTTAATGCTTGACAGGTTAAATTTACTATGAGCGACAAAACAACTCTGGAGGATTTGCTAAAATTGGAACTCCATAAATATGAAGAGGAAGTTAAAAATATGGTTGATAAAGCTGTCAAAGAAATGGCCATGGAAAAAATGATCAAAGAATTGACTAATACTTGGGTTAATTTGGAATTTGACAAGGAAGTTCATGAAAGAACTAAATTAAATACTTTGAAAATTAGTGAGGAGACTATTGAAATTTTGGAAGACCATCAGGTACTTTATTTTTGTGAATTTTGTGAACTAAAAAAAATTAACATTTTGCTTTATTAAATAGTGACTTTTATTAAATTGCACTATACTTTCTTAAATATTGACGTTTTTAAAGATATAATCTCATCCCGATGTTACACTCATCAAGAGCTTTCATTTGAGTACCCACATGCATTTTGATATATTTTTGATATATTTTATATATTTATATATTTGAATATATGAAAAATATATCAAAATACATGTGGGTACTCAAATGAAAGCTCTTGATGAGTTTAACATCGGGATGAGCTTATATGTTTAAAAATATCAATTGTTAAGAAAGTACAGTACAATTTAACATAATTAAGAAATGACCTTGTATCTTGTGAACCCTTGACATTTTTAAAGATATAAGCTCATCCCGATGTTACTCTCATCAAGACCTTTCATTTGAGTACCCACATGCATTTTGATATATTTTTCATATATTCATATTATAAATATATCAAATATATGAAAAATTTATGTGGGTACTCAAATGAAAGGTACTCGATGAGTGTAATATCGAGATGAGCTTATATCTTCAAAAATATCAATAGTTCTCAAGAAACAAGGTCATTTCTTAATTATGTATCTAGAAATAGAGTATTCACGAATGCATTATATTTATTGGCAAGTTTTAATTTAATTTATCATTATCAGGTTCAATTACAAAACATGATGAGCTCCAAATCAATTGGCTACTTTGTTGACATGGTGAATGATTGGCGAAAGAAATTGAACAACGCTGATGCTATTATCAATATCTGGTTCGACGTTCAAAGGGCTTGGATTCACCTCGAAAGTATATTTATAGATTCAGATGATATACGAAAACAATTACCGGAAGATACTAAACGTTTCGAAGCAATTGACCGAGATTTTAAGGTAATTTTTGGAGTATTGTTAAACATTGATAATTAAAGATATTTTGAGCTGTTGCTTGAATTGCTTATTGTATTAAAGGAATTACTAAAAGAGATGCTAGCAAATCTTAATATAGTTAAGGCTACAAATAAACCGAAGTTATTAGAGCGACTCGAAGAATTGCTAATCCAATTGAATGTTTGTGAAAAGGCGCTGTTTAACTATTTAGAGATGAAGCGATTGGCGTATCCTCGGTTCTATTTTATATCTTCTGCAGATCTACTTGATATTCTTAGCAATGGTAAATATTTAAGTACTTTGCTAACTATAAAATGACACCAATATTATATTTTTTATTAGCTTAAACTATAAATATTATTTACGGCAAGGAAATATTGATTACAGAGCGTTTAGCTTTAGCTTCTGCTGTCTATTAAATTTAAAAATAATTTATCTTATTTTTTATGAATGTTTAAAAAAATTTTTTCCGAGCAATTATTGAGTTTGTTATTTTAACATTAGCTAAGTAAGTGGGTCATTTTTTATGAATTTTTTATATATTTTTCTTGAGACCAAAAATAAAAGTTAAGTTATCAAATAAATGGCTGTTAAATAATATATTATTCAGAAAGACTAAAAAAGCTTCATGATATCATCTTTAAATTATTGAAAATTGATTTTATGATAGTATTTTTTAAATTTATTTTGTCGTATATTTAAAATTATATATAATATAAAAAAAAATATCAATAAGTCACAAAGTAAAAATTTTTAAAATTAAAAAAAAAAAATTAAAATTCAATAAAAATCTGTTATTAAGAGAATAAGAAAAATTTGGTGTCCAGGATAGTCACATGATAAAATCGGATTTTTTAATGAAATTTAGTGTCATTGCAGAGGTCTTGATTTAAATTTATGCCTTTTCAAGATTTCATATCTTTCTCACCGATATTCAATTTATTATGATAAGTGTTTAGGCTGCATTCAAAAATGCTCTATCTCTAGATACATAATTAAGAAATGACCTTGTATCTTGTAAACTATTGACATTTTCAAAGATATAAGCTCATCCCGATGTTACATTCATCAAGACCTTCTGAGACTGTACCCACATGCATTTTG